ATTTAGGTGTTGCTTTTCAGGCGGCGGCGTTATCAGGAAGCTTTTGCGTTTAAGTTGGTTTCTCTGAAAGTACATCTCAACCCATGCATCAAATGCTGGATGTGCCCTACCTTTCATGGTCCATTGACTTTGTCAGCATCTCCATCAACATTAAGTTTTTGCATTTAAGTTAGTTTCTCTGATATGTGCACTGATGGTCAAAGCGGGGCACAGGCAAGACATGTTAATCTGAATGGCTTGTTTTTATCAAATGCAACATGAAGGATCATTTGAGCAAATTAATCTTCAGAACAAATACACTAGAAGGCAAACAAACAGTGATGCATATATATTATATATATATAGAGAGGACTTGTGGAACTGGACAGGGTCAATCGTCGGCAACCAGGTAGCTCAATTGGTTTGAGCGTCCGTCTAGAGTTCGGAAGGTCCCGAGTTAGAACCTTGGTCTGGCCAATGCATTTCTCTTTCTCCTGTTAAAAATTTGGTGCTCAACGAAATATACCAATGGAAGGTGGTATATGGTCTTGTGTGTCTTACGGGTCAAAGACTTTGTTGACGGAGCGAGGAATGTATCGGAGCTGGACTTTGAACCATGTTGTAAAAATGTTTAGTGAGTTAGTGATAAATATTGGAATGAAACATGGCATAGCAAAAAATATCTGAACCCTTTTACCACTGTAGACCATAATGGACTCATCTATATCAATGCATTGTTGAGTCTACTAAAGTTACATGGGGGTAAAAGGGTTAATCTGATACGGTACAAAAGGAAGGATAATGGAGAAAAAACACATTTAAACAAATTTTGTCATTCATGGATTTAAGGCTATTAACTTCAAAATAAAAATGATATCTTTGCATGCAATCAAGCATTTGAATTCTAAATTAGAAATTGAATCTACATAATATCTATTTTAACATTTTCATGTTTTCATTTATTTAGAATGTATATTATAAGACATACTATCAATTTAACATTTCACAGGGCACAACCATGTGTATATGTTTAACTGGAGTTTTGGTATTTGACGTTTTTATTTGAACGTAATTAATTGGATTTTAATCTTGAAGAAACCATGGGCATGCCGTTACGATAAATACATCACAGGACAGTTGGGACAAGGGAATGATTGTGTAACAACTTAAAATAGAAACCAACGATAGCAGAATCCTCAAAAACACTAAAGATAGTATAACATTAAAAAAAAGGAAATAAGTTTGAATGTTAAAATGAGAGAGAGCAGCTTTTGTGTTCTGCTACGGAGTCTGAGCCATTATCTAGCCAGGCTTATAGTAGCCTGTGTTACTAGAGAGGTGGTATCTAGTAAGGGTAACAGGGTAACACTGGAGGGGTGTAGAGGCTATCTAGGGTGGTCACAGCGCGTGTAAGGGCACCAGAACACTTGACATTCTGTCAGTATGTGTCTCCCTATGCTGTCTTTATATCTTTGGGAGGTGTAAAAAGAAACTACACAACATGATATTGGTTACAAACAGCTGACAGTTTGCCTGTTTTTCAATGGCAATCACATTACAAACAACTAACTACACAAGACTGCACATTTGTACACAGAGTTGTACTATACAAGACTGATTGCATGTTTTTATAGAACACAGGATTGAATTAGTAATTACACTAAAAACCTGTAGTAGTCCATCTACACTGAATCAATCAATGGCAACCAGGTTGATCAGAGCGTCCGTCTACATTACAGCGGTCCTGGGTTTGAATCCAGGTTTCACCGTGTGTTTTTTCTTTTCTGTTAACATAAGTAACCTTATTCAACAACCTCCGAATGTATTTTCTAAATCAGAAATACAGTGTAAATAGTGGTGTTTTTTTCTATCAATTATGATTAATAATCGAGAGAATTTTCTAAGTTTACTGATTACTCTGTATATATTTTACAGATTATCATATTGAGAGTTGTTGCTGGGCATGTAAATGACTATGTTTTTGAATAACATCAGATGTTGTCATGTTAGTGCCATACTGTTCCTATGCTACTCTTGGTTAATTAAAGAGTCATACCCCAGTATCTCTTATTACTTGTGTAAAATTATTCCTGTGCTGTTTCTATCCAAGTGATGCACCAAGTGGTCTTGTCTGAGCGTTCATAAACTTGATGAATGGCAGTGGTGAGGTAGTGGTGTCTTGTTAGGCAGTGGTGAGGTAGTGGTGTCTTGTTAGGCAGTGTTAGGCTATTGCAGTGATGTATGCGTATGATGTATGATGTACAGCTATGTATAGCGATGTTGACAGCTACACACCACACTACACACCATACCATGCTCGGGATACAAGGCTGTGCTGTAGCTGTCCCAATCTTAGCTCCACTGTGATTATGTCTGTCTAATATAAGTTGTAACATTTTATGCCTTAGATCTGAACTGGATTGTATGTAGTACATGTATATCTTATACAATAGATGACATAAGGCCACCATTAAAAAAATATTTGTTTGCTGTTTTCCTGCCAACCCACTAAAAAACCTTTATTCTTCTTCTGAGGATGACCTTAAGTATGGAAACCCTACTATAGGGGTAACATGGTAGATATTTGTAAAGCCCTGGGAGTTTATAGATGATCTGTAGAGGTTTGTTCCTTGTGAGTTATGGTACAGTCCAACCTGCTCATGCAGTCACCATCATTAAGGGGAGACAACCTGTGTTAAATAAAAAGACACAAGTTTTAATGTTCCTTAATGTTCCTTAATGAAATGAACTTACCTTATAATACCACCTGTGCCAAGAGAAAACTTTCGGAAATTCTGATGGCTGGTCTGTTGATACAGGTTTAACTATAGATGTTTTTACCTGGGCAAGTTTAAGGTTTAGGGCATATGCTCCCTTACTGTAACTTTCATATTCCTTCCATAACACTTTACTCGTATACCCCTCTTCCGTCGAAAAGTTTGTTCGGTCCCGACCGAGTTCGTACATATTCTATGCAAAGTTACCCCGGATTAGCTGAACCATTATTCCTCGAATACCCTGTATTCCTCGAACAAAAATTTGTCCATGACTCTTCATGGTCATAGTATTAATCCTATCTGTTCGTCGAACAGGTGTGACCTGTCACGCGTGACAGATATTTTACCTGTGTATCACAGGTATCGGCACTGCCCTCGGCATGTCTCTAGGCACAGGTTGCAGTTCACGCTAATTGTACTTAACAGGTGTCGGCTGGACGTCAGATAATTAGAGGATTAACGGCAGTATCATTAAGTAACTGTACTGTTACCCTGTTGTAGCTGCATTATCATTTTGTGTGGATATTTATTTTTTCCAGAAGATATTTTGACATCGATGATTTGGCGGAAGCGTTAATTCGCTTGGTGTGTAAAACTATATTTCAGCATGGCAGTATTAAGCAGAAATCACATAGTGGAATCCGACTAACTTCAAAGATATTCAAACTTAAATACGTCATAATTGATAATTTTTTATCAATCAACATTATGATCGCAAGGAATCCAGATTTTCTTCATTTTAAAATAATTGAAGAGTTCCTCTCGTTTTGATATTTTGTAAAATTAACTTAGCCGATTTACAGTATGTTGGACTATGTCAAAACGACAAGTACGTTACACATGCAGCTTTTAATTTTATTTACTTTCTTAACAGCGGTGGCCATATGTTTTCATTGTTTAGCTATTTCAAATCTTATTAAATGCTGTAATCTTGATTAAACTTCTTTTTTCTTCAATCATCTACTATCCGTGATAGTTCCAGTGCTTGCACTGTCTGTTGTCCCACCTGATACAAAAATGACGATTTCGGTCGAACCTCGGATTCGTTGAATACCATGTTTTTCTCGAACTATTGATCTGGACCCTACGAGTTCGAGTAAACAGGGTTTTACTGTAATTATATTTCCTGATATATTTCTTTTCCGAAGTCTGAAATTAAGAAGTTGGATAGATGTAACATCATTGAAGAAAACATGAAACACGTCTAGATTGCTAGTAGACTTAATTCTTTCCAGCAGAGATTCTATTGATTAGATTTAGATAGTTACTACATCTGTAGATCTGAAGTTTGTGGTATTATACCTAAAATAGAACCTTAAAGCTGTTTCTGTTCCTGCATGTCCTGGATTGTTTTATGTACATGTACATGGTAATTAACAAATCAATGTAACCCTGGTTTGTATACACGGATTTGTAGAATTAAAATGGGTTTTTAAAGGTTAATCAAATGTTAACTACCAAAAGTCTATAAAATTGAGAAATAAAGAGGACTGAGTTGATAAGAAAATGTTTCCCCTAGCTAAGTTAAATGACTGACTAGTGTGCTATAGTTGTGATTTCTGGCCTCCGACCACAATTAATTTCCTTATATGTTCTTAAAAAAACTTTTAAAAAGTTCTGTAAATTTGCTCAAGACCTGATCTGTTTAGGTTTTGTTCAGCTATATAAGACACATTTGTGATGAGCTGCAAAACTATTCATGCCTGGCAATTTTTAAAGATAATTTAGTTTTGTCAACATAACCCCATTGTTCAATGATTATCATATATATGACCCTGAAAAACATGCCATATAATTCCACAAAAATAAATTTAATACAGATTAATCACCCATGTTAATTAAAGGGGAATAGATAATTCTTTATTTTGGTATGACATACAGTTTCATTTCATTCATATAAAAGAAATAAAAAGTCTTTTAAAATTGATCGGAATGCACTACATTCATGTACAACGAACCGAAAGCATTATCTGTGGTCTGAAGAATGATATTCAGAGGGGCTGTTGTCAAATAAAATGATATAAAACAATCTTCATTAAGTATAATGAAGATAGAAAGAAAATAACGATTTGGGAAATGTGATATTAACCAAATTGTGATAATAAACAATATGATATTAATGAAATTCACACTATATAGGAAGAAAATTTGTCAGAAAAATACAATTTTCTCTGTAATGTGATGTAGAACTGAACATGCAATTGTTATCAGTTGACTATAAGAAGACATGATTTGCCGTTCCAGGTATGATACGGGCCGAGACAAGTTCATTGACTTTGAGGAGTTGAAAGTAATGATGGAGAAACTGGGGGCAGCTCAAACACACCTGGGACTCAAAGCCATGATAAAGGAGGTTGACGAGGACAACGATGGAAAAATCAGTTTCAGGGAGGTTTGTAATTAATGTCAGTCCAGCACCTAATTTATTTCTCTTCATAAAGATTCAGACCAGTCACCATTTTCTCAAAGGTTATATTCGGCCCATTCCCCAGCCCCAATTTCTCTGAAGAAGGGTTCATCAAGTCCTTGATTATGTCTTTTAAAAAGATTTGTTTTGTGCCTGTTTATCACGACCGCACCTACACTTGTATAATTCCAAAGAAGCTTTGCCTTGCTCATTTTGTATCGTCATACAGTTAGGTTCTAGCCCGTTGCGTATCTTCTGATAGATTAATCCTCACCCAATGTGTCGTTGCCCATATAATGGGACACACTCGGGTATAGGAATAGTCTTTATTCTAAACTCTGTGTATGGGAGATCAGCAGAATCTCTTCCAATTTTTTAGGGGAGACAGAAAAGCTTAACCTTAAATGTTACATTCTTCAATGCCAAGTCTGAATCTCGGGAGCACAATGCAGAATTATAAGGCTGAGTTTTTTCTGTCTAGCCCCCAAAGTGGGAAATGTATTTCCATTCATCCCAAAAACAAGCTTGTTGCAAAAGAATGCTTTTTTCACCTATCAATCACCTATAATTTGATTCCCTGACACGTCATATAGTTGTAAAAAGTAAATAATTCAATTGTAACAGCTACAACATAATGTTATTATGATTGTGGAAAGAACATAATTTAGTAGATTTACTTGTTACATAACAAGCGTGTGAAGCTTTTCTACACCTTAGGGGTTGATAGAGACATCACATACAGCTAAAATGACAAATGTGTGGAAACAAATTGATTGATCTACCTACATGTACAAGTAGAACAGTTATTTTATACGAAACAAGGGGAACTGACCGCTCATACACCTGTGGTCAAGTGTCCACCTCCATTTAGCCATAAACTACTAGGGCCATTATAGATGACAGTCCTGATAGATTGGTCAGTAGGGCTTATGAATGTGCTGTAGAGACTGTAAAGTGTCAGACATTTAATAGTATTACCTGTGTAATCTCAATAACGTGTCAAAACATTCGTGACAGGAAATGTAATACATGTACATATCAGTATTACTGAGTTTACCGTATAATGTATAAAATATACCCTGCTGTAAATGATTGAAAAGGTGATATGAAGGCAAGTATGATGAGAGTTGTAGTCCCTTGTCAAGTACAATGCATGTGATGTGCTGAAGACATAATAGATCAAAAGGTAATGTTGCCTTACTTTCATCTTCAATTCATATATATGTATAACCTTTCATTATTAGCTCACCTGGTCCGAAGGACCTTGGTGAGCTTATGCCACACCGCAGCGTCCGTCCGTCAACTTTTCCTTTAAAACTACTAGTCATGAACGACTGAGCAGATTTTGACCAAATTTGGTCAGAAGCATCCTTGGGGGAAGGGGAACCAATTTTGTATAAATGTTGGGTCTGGCCCCCCTGGGGGCTGAGGGGCGGGGCCCAATTGAGGAAATATAGCAAATTCTTTAACATCCTTCTTCTTCTGTAGGAATGAAAGGATTTGTTCCATATTTGGGGTGAAGGGGAACCAATTTTGTATAAACCGTGGGTGTGTCCCCCAGGGGCCTAAGAGGCCGGGCCAAATAGGGGAAACATAGCAAATTATTCTTTAAAATCCTTCTTCTGTAGGAATGAAAGGATTTGGTCATATTTGGTGTGGAGCATCCTTGGGTAAAGGGGAACCAATTTTGTATAAACAGTGGGCCTGGCCCCCCCCGGCCAATTAGGGGAAATATAACAAATACTTTAATATCCTTCTCCTTCTGTAGGAATGACAGGATTTTGTCCATATTTGGTCTGAAGCGTCCTTAGGTAAAGGGGAACAAATTTTGTATAAACCGTGGGTCTGGCCCCCCAGGGGCCTGAGAGGCGGGGCCCAATAGGGGAAACATAGCAGATTATTCTTTAAAATCCTTCTTCTGTAGGAATTGGTCCATATTTGGTGTGGAGCATCCTTGGTAAAGGGCCCAATAGGGGAAATATAGGTAAAACCTTTATAATCCAACTTCTACCATAGGGATTAATGGATATTTTTCTAATTTAGTCTGGAACATCCTTAGGCAAAAGGGACTCAATTTTGTATAAACAGCGAGTGTGGCCCCCCTGTGGGCAGAAGGGAGGGGCCCAATAGGGGAAACAGCAAATTCTTCAAAATCCTTCTTCTGTAGGAATGACAGGATTTTGTCCAAATTTGATATGAAGCAGCCTTGGGTGAAGGGGAAACAATTTTGTATAAGCAGTGGGTGTGGTCTCCCAGGGGACAGAAGGGTGGAGCTCAATTGGAGAAATAGAGGTAAACCCTTTAAACCCCTACTTCGACCATCAGGATTATGGGATTTTATCCTTATTTAGTCTGGAGCATCAATAGACCAAGGGGACTCAATTTTGTATAATTGGTGATTAACGGCATTATCATTAAGTAAATGTACTGTTACCCTGTTGTAGCTGTATTATCATTTTGTGTACATGTTTACTTTTTCCAGACGATGTTTTGACATCGATGATTTGGCGGAAGTGTTAATTCACTTGGTGTGTACAAGCATATTTCAACATGGCAATATTAAGCAGAAATCACATAGTGGAATCCGACTAACTTCAAAGATATTCAAACTTAAATACGTCATAATTGATAATTTTGTTATCAATCAACACTATGATCGCAAGGATTCAAGATTTTCTTCATTTTAAAATGATCGAAAAGCTACCATGAATATAATGGTATTTCGCTGATAAAAAGTTTCAAGTTTTTGATTTGCATAGGGGAGTGTCAATGTGGTGTCATGTACAAGTTTATCTACTGTCTATGCTGTTTACAGTTTAACACAGTTTACCGTATCTTTACCATACCGTAACTGACAATCGGGGTATAAACGGCCATTACATGTCTCCTAGAAACATTCACCAGCACACAGGAGATCTATAAAGTGGAGGGTTTAGGTGGTACAAGGAGTGCATTTTATAAAGAAGTTCTACTGATTAACAAACAATTTATTCCAAATGGTTTCATCTCTGAATATTTATTTATGTTATTCTTTACAATGGAGGGGGACATATTGTTTTATTACAAGCTTCAAATCTTATTTCACTCATTTCTCATGAAAGTTCATCCATCCAGGCCATAAAATTTGAGGTGAAAGTCACAATAAAACATACTATCCCGACCTAGGTATTTATATAACACAATGTAACTTACCCCATTAGCATACTGTTAGGTTACATCTGGAGGGTCCTGGTCGGATATATTAGTGTTAGACAAGTATAGGAGTAATATTGTCTGGTACAAGTATATCTCGAGTCGGAGCTAGAGGACATAGACCTTTGTAAACCATATCGTTCATGTTAAGTTATTTGTATATTCTTTGTGTCAGTGATCATAAATAGTTGATGTAATACAGGGTTAGGGGAGGGTAGTGTAAATCACGCCGACACCTGTCTTCCAGCCACGCTCCTACAGTTAGATAGCACAGAGTCACCACAGAATACTATACTTGCCAGGACTCCTAAATACAAAATATAGTGATAAAATACCATTTATTTCCTGCCTTGTTCGTGTGTAAAAATTTTAAAATTCCCAGTTGGGAATAACTGTCCGATATTGTATCTATAGTTACTACCGGTATATACTGAGAAACTTCCATCTAAGTAAAAAATTCACTCTTTGCCAGGATAATACATATTTGCCAAGTGTTAATTTCGCCTTCATGTTTAATTACTGTAGATATTATCTTGTTTACTTTTGTCCGCTGTAATGATGAATTTTGACCTCATTACGGTGGGCGAAAAAAGGATGAAATTAAACTGCAGCTTAAGTTTCTGGTATAACGTATTATTAAATAGTAAGAACCGTTTTCGGTATTAACCCATTCACCCCTACATATCTTAACTGGACTTGCCCAGTCTTTGGTTTGGTAAGGTTTAAATGTGAGTGTAGGGGTGAGTGGGTTAAGCAGTTGATCTCTATAGAGAGGTAGTCTTGAAATATATATGCTAGGCTGGTGGTTTACGGCAGGTTTCTCTATTCCTAAATATGTGATTGATTTTGATTTTCAGTTCTTGCTTATATTCCGGAAAGCCCGAGCCGGGGAACTTGATGAAGACAGTGGTCTGTTTAACCTTTACCAGAACCTAGAGGAAGTGGACGTAGACAAAGAGGGAGTGAAGGGTGCTAAAAACTTCTTTGAGGCCAAGGTAACAGTTTTATATTATCTCCCCTTGACATAGACAATGAGGGAATGTAGGGTGCTAAAAACTACTTTGAGGCCAAGATAACAGTTTTATATTATCTCCCCTTGACATAGACAATGAGGGAAAAGAGTGTAGGGTGCTAAAAACTTCATTGAGGCCAAGGTTACAGTTCTGTATTATCTCCCCTTGACATAGACAATGAGTGAAGGGAGTGAAGGGTGCTAAAAACTTCTTTGAGGCCAAGGTAACAGTTTTGTATTATCTCCCCTTGACATAGACAATGAGGGGCATGTAGGGTGCTAAAACTTCTTTGAGGCCAAGGTAGCAGTTCTGTATTATCTCCCCTTGACATAGACAATGAGGGAGTGAAGGGTGCTAAAAACTTCTTTGAGACCAAGGTAACAGGTTTATATTATCCTCCCTTGACATAGACAATGAGGGAGTGAAGGGTGTAAAAACTTCTCTGAGGCCAAGGTAACAGTTTTGTATTATCTCCCCTTGACATAGACAATGAGGGAGTGAAGAGTGCTAAAAACTTCTCTGAGGCCAAGGTAACAGTTTTATATTATCTCCCCTTGACATAGACAATGAAGGAATGAAGGGTGCTAAAAACTTCTCTGAGGCCAAGGTAACAGTTTTATATTATATCCCCTTGACATAGACAATGAGGGAGTGAAGGGTGCTAAAAACTTCTCTGAGGCCAAGGTAACAGTTTTGTATTATCTCCCCTTGACAAAGACAATGAGGGAGTGAAGGGTGCTAAAAACTTCTTTGAGGCCAAGGTAACAGTTTTATATTATCTCCCCTTTATGTGTGTAACATAAAAAGATACCAAATTTGTATGCAAATAAGCCTCCACCCCTATTGAAAGAAGATTGACAAAAAACAGGGAGGGGCTATATAATGAATTTTTTTTTCCATGCTGTTTTATGCTTAAGCCAAGGTTCCGTTAGTGCTTTACACAAGCTACACCAGTGCTATAATGTTCTTCAGTGCATTGAAGAGGTTAGCAAACATTTTAACTAAATTATAATTGCCTCATTAAAATTTTGTATCGTACTATTCCAGTCATTTGGTACACTTTTTAAAATTTCAAGCGCATTTTAAGATTTTGATTTTCTGCTGATTTGAAAATTTTATTTTATATTTGTGTATTCAAATGTATAAAAATGTAAAAAAAAATATCAGCAAAAACTAATGAAATTTTCTCCATAAGTTTTGAGTTATCTCAAAGGTTAGAAAATTGTGGAAACATGGGAGAGTGAAACATCTCTGAGATATCCAGAGTTTCTTGAAGCATATAGTACTATAATAAATAGCACTTTGAAAATTAAATTCTTTGCGTCCTCTTTCTACTTAATTATGAAAAAATAAAAACTTTTAATGATTTCTTTTCTTCAAACAGATTGATAAACAAACACAGGACAAAAAGTTTGAAAATGAGATAAAGAATGAACAAGAGGAAAAGAAAAAATTGCAGGAGGAAGCGATGGAAAGGAAAAAGGCATTCAAGGAAAAGGCCACTTTCTTCACACAGGCCGCAGCCAACAACTGACGGACAAATTAATAGGGACGTGTCCAGGCTACAGTGACTCGTCCAGATCTGACCTTCTTGTGACCTTGATGATCAAATCCTCACTTTAGTGTTATAATTAATTCACAACAAAACCTGTTCTACAGTAGAACCTGTCTTCAGAGACCACTGCTTTTGATAGACAGCTTTTACCTACTGTATACTTACTTAGTTTAGAGTACTCAAAGTTAAGGGCTTAATTGACACAGATGAACAGATATATCAACTGGAACACTCTCAAAACATGCCGTAGAAAACAGTCTACAGGAGTTTAGTTGGTGAAGTCATCAATTAATGCAAAATTTAAAGTCCAACAACAATGCTGAAATAAGATATATAAATATAAAATTTAGTTCTTTTACAACAATTATGAAACAAGTTATTTCAACTTACATTAATAACTCTTATTAGCCCAAATTTTAGCGTGCAGGGGGGTCTTAATGTGGGATTTAACGGAAGTACCCATAGAAAACCCATGTGACACCATACCTGTTAACGTCTGATCGGGGAATCAAACCCCAGCTGCTTTTGTGAAAGGTGAGTGTTATCCACGCCACCACCCGACCACCGTTAAATAAGACTACCACTAATATATGCACATCTACAATATCCAGACACTTGGTAATGAGATGCCCATTGAATGTGTAAGGAGCAAGAACAATGAATTGGTTGACATCTAACAGAAAAATCTCAGTAAAATTTCAATTGAAGATTTTTCTGTCCATTCAATTTGTATGGAAACCAAAATTTATGGGTCTCTAGATATGGTTGGTTTTATCACTTGGTCACTAAATATGGCAGTCAAGATCTTTGGGTCACTAGATATGGCAGTCAAGATCTTTGGGTCACTAGATATGGCAGTCAAGATATCGCTAGGTATATCAGATCAGATCGAGGATCATTAGATATGGTTGGTTTTATCACTGGGTCACTAGATATGGTTGGTTTTATCACTGGGTCACTAGATATGGAAGTCAAGATCTTGGGCTCACTAGATATGGTTGGTTTTATCACTGGGTCACTTGATATGGAAGTCAAGATCTTGGGCTCACTAGATATGGTAGTCAAGATCTCACTAGATATATCAGCTTAGATCGTGGATCACTAGATATAATGGGTATATCTCATGGTCACTTGATACATTAGGTGAGATCTGGGGTATCTACATATGGTAGACAAGATCTTCGGTGTCATTAGATATAGTGGGTAAGATCCCAGGGTCACTAGGTATTGTCGGTTAGATCTGGACGAGTGTGACTAGTAGCCATGGTTACATGTATACAATTTATACAAAAATATTCTACTTTCATCTAGACCACCTGGTAACGCCGACACTTACTTCAGTATAGTATTACTATAAACTGATCTTAGGAGTTCATAACTTAACTATTATTTAGTGAATCAAAACATGTTTTAGTGATGAAAGTATGTACGAGTTGTTGGTGGGTGTAACCGTGTTTATGGTGATATGTAAGTATACAGATCTAGGATAGTAGTTTCAACTGAACTATCATGTGAATATTGGTGCTTTGCATAACGACCCATGTTGGAAAATCTGAAAACAAATAGTATTAAACACATTATTTAAAACAAGGGTCATTTTGGAATGCCAGTGATTTTGTAAACCAATAGTTGTAAATCTTCCTCAGAAAGAGCAGTGTGAAAGTGTGTTTGATTGTGAGTCTGCTTCTTGTAAATTAACTTTCATTGTTATAAATTGCACTGTTGTCTATGTATCATCTGCAAGAAAAAATTGTTTGCAAGGACAGTTTTAATAATTTTGCAGCAAATCTACTATTTGATGTCATCACTGAAATGTAAATAGTGAAAATTTTCCTTTTGAAGAACAAATATGTTTCATATTGTCTAAACAAATGACAATGAATTGTACCATAGAAACCTAAACCTTATGTTCACCTTGGAAACCATTAACCTTATGTTACCTAAGGAACCATTAACCTTATGTTACCTAAGGAACCATTAACCTTATGTTACCTATAATAAGGAACCATTAATTGAAAAAAACCAATGACCTTTACTTAGAAATCAGTTACTTTCAGCAATGAATGACCTTAAAGTATACCTTATATACCGGAGAACCTTAGAAACCAATGACCTTGAACTTTGTGAATTATTCACCATTATATCTCCAATGTGTATCCAACTTGTCTTCAAACTCATAGCTGTCATTTTAGTACCTGGTTCTCCTAGTACCTAATGATCGTGGTGTTACAAGTTAGAACTCGGCAGTATCGCAGTATCCCATGTTACATACATTTGTACAGATAGGCCTGCATGCCCAGAGTGTTACGATGCCCCTTAGTGCCATGTCTATTTTCTGAGTGCTCTGTTTTTATAAACAACTTATACTTGAGAGTATGGTTTGAACCAGTTGGTTCTTGCTTTATTTGTAAATTTGTGGCATGAGTGTTAAGTACTATTGTATTCCTGTTTCTTAATGGGAGATACAGGACATTTTGTTAATGGGAGATACAGGACAATTTGTTAATGGGAGATACAGGACATTTTGTAAACATTCCTTTTCATGTAGAATCTCTATAATCAAAGTACATTTAATACTTAATAACTTTTTTTATTGGAATAAATTATCGGTGATTTGTTTTCACAGCAAACATTAGTACTATTCTCCATTGGTTTTCTAGTAACTGATTAATTGTGTTGGACCAATTGTTTATTAACACCCCGTGAAACAGTTTTTACTGATAAAGGTATTTCTGTTATCTGCTTAAATACCGTGGAAGAGCTGTTCAAAAGTTAACTATAAGAGAGGGGCCGGAGGCATTTTTTCAGAGATCTCGCCACCCATAAAATCTTAAAAGTGACCTAATAAAAGAAAAAGTAGGCAGGTCTGGTTTTAACTCCACCATCCATAATACATTATTACAGGTGGCTGCCACCTCCCCAAAACAATTAGTTATGAACTTAGTGAGGCTTTAAGCATTTTCCCCAGATACTTTGAGCATTATGCACTACACTGCAGTTGTCTCCCCTAGATTGTTCAATCAACGGCATTATTATCTGTTTATAGAAATTTTGGTTGAAAGTTTCTTCGTTATGCCCTGTTTGCCTCTATAACCTTGATGTAATCAAAATCGACAACCACTAGTATATCTGTTTTTAATTTTATGATTTTTTATCAGCTTGTACATGCACTGATTTATTAAATATGCTTATGTTTCACATTTGTTTTTTCTCATACCGAAATTTGACACTTGTCTATTTCCTGTCTCCTTATTTACATTTATGAAGTCTTTGTTGATCTGTAATAAGTACAGAAAAACTATGCCGTCTAAGATCTGATTAGCTGTAATACTGTACCACAGCTGTGATCAATGAACAGATCTGAACTATTATTCCCTCAAAAATCTTTCTTTAATATTTAATTTGCTGTTTATTTTAAGAATTCAATTGTTGATGAGGATTCTACTGAAGATGCAAATTTTAGATCAACTTGTACATTGTACATGTAACAGGTTTTCAAGTTTTTGACAACTTGTTTTAGACATGTTGATTCTGTATCCTGGTCACCCCCACCATTACTTACGCTTTATCGTATTCAACAAAATAATCTTGTACTCCAGACTTTGTTTTGTAAACTTGTACTCCAGAGCTTGATTTTGCAGGTGCTTCTGTATGAGTGGGTATTGATATATTTATCATTGTTGGGTTATGTATGTTATGTACATAAACATGGATGTGTAGTATATATAAAGAGGGTTTGAAATTTCAGGTTTGTATGTATATCCATGTGTCGCAAAATAGTAGATTTTGGAGATGTAGATTTTTGCAACATTTTTTACCTTATTACAAAATCATTTGATCACAAAGAAAATATGAAATAAAAGACAACCATAATTATAATTTAGAGTAAAATATATATTCTGTATATAACATTTAGAATTCACTCAAATCATACATAATATATATTTGGTAGTGTAAGTTTGACCATTATAGTTTGTATAGTGCATGTTTCAAAGACAAAAATAATCAAAAGTCTTGTTGAGTGTGTGGTATGTTGGTGGGGTTCTTTACCTTAGACTTCCTACTGCCACATCTGTACCAAGTTACCTGTGACATGACACGCTCACTAATAAGCCCACCCTATAGACAGAATTACAGTACAAAATTCTCATAAGCCTAGCTTTTCAAATTCATGTTTTGACTTCTTACATTCTTTGCATTTGCATAATAATAATTATGAAATATTTATGGAACAACAACTACCTGTATGTTAAAATCATTAATCTGCAGGGAGAACCATGGAAATTTTGTGACACAACACATTTGATATATTCTACAGTAGTGCTAAAACAGCTACAAAACTAAGACAGGGTTCAATTTAACATGTGCCATTATAGTGTTAAGTTTGATGGTGGATACTTGCCAAACACTTTTGATAACTTTTACGTTCAAAAGTAGAACTAAAGACACATGTGTGGTACTTTTAATATAAAAGTGTTTAAAAATGTTGCATACAAAAGGGGTTTTAAAATTGTACATTACAAAAAATGTACCAGACCATGATATAATATTGTAAACTTTGAACATATGTCAAGCATTGGCCGTCATAATGTAGTTCTTATTCATTCCAACTGCCATACAGTAGTGTACACATTATACATGTACTACAATTATACTATGAAATATAAAATCAAAAGGTTATCTTGCCCCTTTATCTTATTTGTAATTATACTATTTTTATTACATTAAATATTTACTTAAATTTTGTTATGTGTGCATGATACTAAGTTTGTGTAAACTGTATTGCCAGTTTTCTCATGATGAAATAGCCACAGATCAAAGGAAGTTGTTAGCTTAGGAAAGGGGCACAATAATTGTCATACCATTGTACTGTGTAACCATAACTAACTAATGCATTACATAATTATGCTGTACTGTTGAATTGACATTATGTAGTACATAATTAAATTATAGACATTGCATTGTTTGTTGTATAACATAATCAGGATGTACTGTAGACATGAAATGTTGTATAATATATAACATAATTGTGTTTTACTGTAGACATGAAATGTTGTACTGTGGACACGACGTTATGTGTATTGTATTACATAATCATGTCGCAGTTTAGACAAGACGTTGTTATAATGTATAACATAAATGTGTTTTACTGTAGACATGTATTACATAATTGTGTTTTACTGTAGACATGAAATGTTGTATAATATATAACAATTGTGTTTTACTGTAGACATGAAATGTTGTACTGTGGACATGACGTTATGTGTATTGTATTACATGATCATGTCGCAGTTTAGACAAGACGTTGTTATAATGTATAACATAAATGTGTTTTACTGTAGACATGTATTACATAATTGTGTTTTACTGTAGACATGAAATGTTATACTGTGGACATGACGTTATGTGTATTGTATTACATGATCATGTCGCAGTTTAGACAAGACGTTGTTATAATGTATTACATAATTGTGTTTTAATGTAGACATGAAATGTTGTATAATATATAACATAATTGTGTTTTACTGTAGACAAGAAATGTTGTACTGTGGACATGACATTATGTGTATTATATTACATAATCATGTTGCAGTTTAGACAAGACGTTGTTATAATGTATTACATAATTGTGTTTTACTGTAGACATGAAATGTTGTATAATATATAACATATTAATGGTGTACTGTAGGCATGACGTTATTATAATGTATCACATAATTATGATTAACTGTAGACATGATGCTATGTATAATGTACTTCATGTATTAGTATGATGTAGGTATTTGATGTTAGCGTATCCTTCATATGTTGGTAAAAAGGTCCTGTTTTAGGATAATAGGTGTAACAATGTAATATAAAAATGATCTGATGATTTGGTGCAATTTGTATGCCTACTGTTTTGATATTGACAGTTATTTATGACTATTATTAATAAAAAATCTTGAATCTACTGCATTTTTGGTGTTTTTTTATGCGGAGTTGACAGTGTTAAAAATTTTGTAGTAGTTGATCATCGATCATATCCATCATATTTACCAAAGGCACTAGCTGTTAAAATAGTCTGGAATCTCTAGTTCTGACCATGGCACCAGACATGATATCTATGTCACAAATTGATTGTATCGAGAGGCAGCATTCTTGTTGATTGACGATGGAGCCAGACCCGGCATCATTGTCTCAAACTGACCAGTGAGCCAGACCCAGCATTCATGTTGATTGACCATGGAGCCAGACGCATCATTCTTGTTGATTGTTCATGGAGCAAGACCCAGCATACTTGTTCATTGACCAGTGAGCCAGACTCTGCATCAGTGTCTCAGACTGACCAGTGAGCCAGACTCTACATCATTGTCGCAGACTGATCAGTGAGCCAGACTCTGCATCATTATCTCTGACTGAACATGGAGCCCCCAGCATCATTGTCTCAGACTGACCAGTCAGCCAGACTCTACATCATTGTCGCAGACTGATCAGTGAGCCAGACTCTGCATCATTATCTCAGACTGACCAGTGAGCCAGATTCTGCATCATTGTCTCAGACTGACCAGTCAGCCAGACTCTACATCATTGTCGCAGACTGATCAGTGAGCCAGACTCTGCATCATTATCTCAGACTGACCAGTGAGCCAGACTCTGGTGGATTCACCATGGAGCCACACCCAGCATCCATGTTGATTGACCATGGAGCCAGCCCCAGCATTCTTGTTGATTGACCATGTAGCCAGACCCAGCATGCTTGTTGATTAACCATGGAGCCAGACCCAGCATGCTCGTTGATTAACCATGGAGCCAGAGCAAGCTTTCTTTTTGATTGACCAATTAGGCAGACCCAGCATGCTTGTTGATTGGCCATGGAGCCAGACCCAGCATCCTTGTTGATTGACCATTGAGCCAGACCCAGCATTCTTGTTGATTGGCCATGGAGCCAGACCCAGCATCCTTGTTGATTGACAATGGAGCCAGACTTAGCATTCATGTTGATAGACCATGGAGCCAGACCCAGCATGCTTGTTGATTAACCATGGAGCCAGACCCAGCATGCTTGTTGATTAACCATGGAGCCAGATCAAGCATTCTTGTTGATTGGCCAATTTGGCAGACCCAGAATGCTTGGTGATTGACTATTGAGCTAGACCCAGCATCATTGCCTCAAACTGACCAGTGAGCCAGAACCAGCATTCTCGTTGATTGACCATGGAGCCAGACTTAGCATTCATGTCGATTGACCATGGAGCCAGACCCAGCAACCATGATGATTGACCATGGAGCCAGACCCAGCCTTCATGTTGATTGACCATGGAGCCAGACCCAGCATGCTCGTTGATTAACCATGGAGCCAGATCAAGCATTCTTGTTGATTGACCAATTAGGCAGACCCAGAATGCTTGTTGATTGACTATTGAGCTAGACCCAGCATCATTGCCTCAAACTGACCAGTGAGCCAGAACCAGCATTCTCGTTGATTGACCATGGAGCCAGACCCAGCATTCATGTTGATTGACCATGGAGCCAGACTTAGCATTCATGTTGATTGACCATGGAGCCAGACCCAGCCTGCTTGTTGATTGACCATTGTCCCAGACCCGGCATCATTGTCTCGGACTGACCATGGAGCCAGACGCATCATTCTTGTTGATTGATCATGGAGCAAGACCCAGCATACTTGTTCATTGACCAGTGAGCCAGACTCTGCATCAGTGTCTCAGACTGACCAGTGAGCCAGATTCTGCATTATTGTCTCAGACTGACCAGTGAGCCAGATTCTGCATCATTGTCTCAGACTAACCAGTGAGCCAGATTCTGCATCATTGTCTCAAGACAGACCAGTGAGCCAGACACTGCATCATTGTCTCAGACTGACCAGTGAGCCAGACTCTGCATCATTGTCTCAGACTGACCAGTGAACCAGATTCTGCATCATTGACTCAGACTGACCAGTGAGCCAGATTCTGCATCATTATCCCAGACTAACCAGTGAGCCAGATTCTGCATCATTGTCTCAGACTGACCATTGAGCCAGATTCTGCATCATTGTCTCAGACTGACCAGTGAGCCAGACTTTACATTATTGTTGCAGACTGATCAGTGAGCCAGACTCTGCATCATTGTCTCAGACTGACCAGTGAGCCAGACTCTGCATCATTATCTCTGACTGAACATGGAGCCCCCAGCATCATTGTCTCAGACTGACCAGTGAGCCAGATTCTGCATCATTGTCTCAGACAGACAAGTGAGCCAGACTCTACATCATTGTCTCAGATTGACCAGTGAGCCAGACTCTACATCATTGTCGCAGACTGAACATGGAGCCACCCAGCATCATTGTCTCAGACTGACCAGTGAGCCAGATTCTGCATCATTGTCTCAGACTAACCAGTGAGCCAGATTCTGCATCATTGTCTCAGACTGATCATTGAGCCAGATTCTGCATCATTGTCTCAGACTGACCAGTGAGCCAGACTCTACATCATTGTCTCAGACTAACAAGTGACCCAGATTCTGCATCATTGACTCAGTCTGACCAGTGCGCCAGACTCTACATCATTGTCTCAGACAGACAAGGGAGCCAGACCCTGCATCATGGAGCCAGACCCAGCATGCTTGTTGATTGACCAGGGAGCCAGACTCTGCATCATTGTCTCAGACTGACCAGTGAGCCAGACCCTGCATCATTATCTCAGACTGAAAATGGAGCCTGACCATGGAGCCAAAAAATGCACCATTGTCTCAGAATGACCTGTGAGCTAGACCCAGCATCATTGACATTAGAATTGAACTCATTATGAAAAATAGCCCAAAAATAAAGAATTCATTAATTTTGTTCTGTTCTATTCCAAGGTTCAGTTGAAATTAAGAGCTTCACGAGCCAATGAAATGTTAAAAAATTTAACTTTTGGAAAAATATCTCAAAGTTTCCTAGGGAGGTTTAATTTTGAATTTCAATAGTTTTAACAAACAATACATCAGTTTAATGTTAAGTTGTTGTAAGCTATCCAGACTTTAACCCCGGAACTGATGTAGAACAAATAAATAATAATAATAATATACAACATTTATATAGCGCCCTATATACTTTGTAAAATTACTCTAAAGCGCTTTACAACATATGGATAATAGTAATGGTTTTAATTGTGAAAACAAAAAACAAAGGCTTACAATCACTTTTATTCAGTTAAGCAATCAATGTGCACATAATTGAACAAATAAAAGGGTGGTATTTACATAACGTCTTTGCAAAGATTCTAAAATGCAGAAGTGAAAAGGTGAGTTTTAATGTCCCTCTTGAACTTGGCCAGGGTATTTGACTTTCTAATAGCCGATGGTTAGCTATTCCACAACGTAGCCGAAACCCTCCCAACGCATCTGTTTCCATATATAGGTCACAGTACGAGATTTTGGGACACACAACAAAGATTCTGACTCCGACCGCAGTGATCGTGACGGCTGATACAGGGTAACAAGCTCCTGTAGGTACTGAGGAGCTGTTCCATTCAGTGCCTTGTATGTGTACATCAGAATTTTGTACTGCGTCCTGTATCGTACAGGTAACCAGTGCAACGAATAAAGCACAGGTGTGATGTGCTCTCTCTTTCGATTACGAGTAACTAGCCGTGCTGCAGTGTTCTGGACCCTCTGCAGACGACTAGTTAGTTAATACACTGTGTCTAGATATTATCTCTGGATAGTTTGATAAGATTTTATTACAAGGTTACGAGTTGAATCAGTGTTATCTACGGATGGCTATATAATCGATACTGCTATCTCTAATGGCTGTGAAGGTGCAGATGTCGCCTACCTAGATATAGGTCACGATAATGCTTACCTTTATTATAGCTATGTAGGTCCAGATGTCACCTACATGTACATAGTGTGTATTAGTCACCCACAAAGTCTGACCCAGTTACTATAAAATGTCCTAGACACAGACTTGTATAGATTACAAAGCGTTAGAAGAGAAGGAGCTAAGGACGTGATCAGGACTAATAATTTAAATTCAAACTCCTGTACCAGGAGTTTTATTTTGAATTATTAGTCGTTTTATTCATAATTACCAGAATTTTGAGAATTCATAAAACTGTTATGATTGTTTATAAACAAGTTGTATATAGTAAATACCAAGAAATGAATTAATATCGAGGGGCTATGAAAGGATTTAGTTTTTTTCTATTTTACTGTGACAGAAATTCTGCTTCAGCAGTATAACATTAGTTTGTATATTAAAATCGAAACGGTAAGAAAGATAAGACCTTGCGCAAGGATGACGCACAAAATCGTCATGTATTATGTACATAATAATAAATACAAAAAAAAGATTGTGCGAGTATTGCTTTATTAAATATAATGTTTATATCTGGAACCACTACGTGTCATTATAGGAATTGCCATATCTTTATCAGCCTTGTTTTAGGAGCCAATTGATCACGATTCCTTGAAGTTTTCACTCCGAAAAGAGCTGTCTCTTGGAAACAGACAACCGTGTGAGAGCTTCACGTTACCATAGGACAATGTCAATAAATGTCCTCATCATTTGTTTTTAATGTTGCTAAATAACTAGATTATACCCCTAGGAATGGACAGACCATAGCCATCAGAATGATCAGAGTGTACCTACCCAATGTGGGATAATTGGGCCCAAAGAACCCATTGCGTGGCGTGAGATGCCCCTAATATCATGTTTTGTACTACCTTATCGCTTTCCGTGGGCGCCGACCGCATTACTATTTTACTGTAGTGACGACCTCAGATAACTGTTTTACTGTGTGACGACCGCACATGACCTAATTCTGTCGATGGACTGTTAAACCATAAACAAACCTCTCAATCATCTGTGTTCAATGTGGTAGATTAAAGTCCTCTGTACTTTTATTTAATCGTTTGAATGCAAAATCTTCTGACGTTGTCAGGCCAGGCCCACTTACCATTGGACATTTCGACTTCTATCGTAAAACGCATTAAATGTTTACAATCGATAAGCAAAACTAATGGTCGTCAGTAGATGGTTTCTAGGTCTTGCGATTACTCATCCATCCCACCTCTCTGCTGTTGTTCAGATTCGCTGTATATATGTCAAATGCTGCCTAAAATCATCTTTTGGATTGCACTTAGGCCTACCTGCATCCCTCTCAACAAGGAATACCGCACCGAATCCATGCACAGCGCACTTTGGCTTTTAGGGCCCATAAGCCTTTTCGTACTGCTTCTCTACAGACTGTAGCTCAGCCATGTCCAGTCCCCTTACCTACTACGACCAGTGCATAAGTTCTGGGAGTAAATTGACTTAAAGGACATTATAGTAGCTGGGAATACCAGTCTTCATCCTAGGTCCATCCGCTATCGTGTCTTCAATCTCACGGAAACTTGTCATTTCTCCTGGTCTCAAACTCTAGTCCCAAAGAGATTTGTTGGAACGTTGGCTAGGTTACCCGGCTGGTTGCAGACTGCAATACTCAGGTACTTTGTCAGTGATGAACAGGATTGGTAAATCTGTGTATACAGCATGATTCTTACTACCTTATAAAATCTATATATTGTCTACCGTTTGGTCCACGCTCCTTGCGCTCCAATCCCCACTATTTTACCTACCTGATCTTCTCCGTTTTTCTGATATTGCCTAGGACCATAAATATCCATGGAACGCCAAATTAAAATACATTCAATTAATTGTACCTGTCTTCAAATAATTGAAGATAGGTACAAATAATTGAAGATAGGTACAATTAATTGAAGATAGGTTCAGTTCAATTGAAGATAGATACAATAAATTGAAGAAAGGCTCAATTCAATTTTACCTATATATCTATAAATAATTACCTGAGGAAAGAACATCCATTGGTAAATACGTTTAGTCTATCATTGTATTGCTTCTGTGATTTGTTATATTAAACTAGTAATTCGCTGAAATAACAAATTACTGCAGAATAACTGTAATCTTGGGTATTGCACCTGTGTTCTTGTGCTGTAGTAAACTGGTAATTAGCTATTCTATCAACTAACTATTGTACTCGTGATTCGTGTTATTGTTTACTGGTAATTAGTTACAATACATATTAAATAACTCAGGATCACTTAGTGTGTTAATTAGTATTGAACTCTTAAGGAAAATAAATGCATGTCACTGTTAGGTCTGTTAGCACAAAAACTGACCTATGGTAATACTTGTATTTACAATTTGGAACAAAGTCAAACTCTACGTGGTCACATGGACATTCACATGTCTGGCCAAGATTTGACGTTGTTAGGAAGAAAACAATATCGTTTCTGAATACAACAACGATTTGATAAAATTATAAACAACAGCTGAATGTTTTTTTTTTTATTATGTTCATCGTTCTAAACGGTTACCCTAATTCTTCACCTAACACCCTAAATGGTGTTTGGGGGGACTCAATATAGCAAGGTCGTGCTTTAAGTTGGCTTTGTCCCAAAGTGTAAATATGTTAAATCGGTCATATAATGTCGGTTCTTAACAACACAATCACGCGCTCATACATGTTTAAAAAATATGGATATGTAGATATGTGAATTAAAAGTACATAAGCGTGTATCGCTGTGATACCTAAAGCAATAAGTTCAATTGGCTGCTGGTCTAAATCGTAGTTTTCATGGCTTTAACAGACATTTTATACTTATATCAGTGTAAATCACATAGGGGTGTTCTCCGTCCCCCCACTTTTTATAGAACAAAGAAAAGTGTTGATATAGGAAGACAATGACAAACCAATTATAGTCTGTTTCATTCTTACTTCATATTGAAGCATATTTTGTGGCAAAAACCAACACACGGCACATAGGCCAAATTGAAATATACTGAGGATAAAATAATGAGAATGATAGTCCCTAGTTGAAAATATTTTTGAGTTGGATGGACAGGTTTTTTTAGCTGATTTTTTCCCTGAAGAGCTATCATGACTGGTAACATGTTTTTTAATTCATCAATTTAATCAATATTCACCTACAAAATTAAGCAGTAGGAACGCCTTACCACCGAACTGGACGATAAGCAGGGCGATTTCGATTTTCATGAATTTCTCTTTCTAGATAGCAACATCCGTGCTTCCCTACCATACAGTGGTTATATATATCGCAGTTGATACGGTGTTCAAGATCTAGCTCCGATATACTGCAATCATTACAATGTGATAGATGTCGACTGGTGATGGACGTCATACAACACAGGGTTTCCTCAAGATGCAGGTCGGGGATCGAGAAAAGAATACATATGCCGTTACCCACTGCATATATCGTAAGAGGCGACTTATGTGTGAACACCCTGCAGAATTGGGCATTTGCTTTTCTGTCCAGTACTTGGGGACATGAAATCGACCAAAATAAATCTGCACTCATTGCAATATCTTGGATCTTTATATTTCTCTCTACTTCTAAGTACCTTTTGTTTCCTAGCGCCTTTCTTGGCAACACGTCAATTTTGACTTGAATGTTGAGCGTTCGCCCAGGTGAGGAAGGCAATGGGTTCTGTCCCCAGCCCGGGACATACCAAAGTCATTCAAAATGGTTATTGTTATTCCCTGCTTTGCGTTCAGGGGAATGGTTCACCCGTTGTCAGTATAATGTGACCGGGTGGAATGCTGTGCTGGGTGTCTTCGGCATGGTATTTCAGTGAGATAGCACTATAAAGTCGACATCAGATCCACGCTATCACAAGGAGGCAAATACATCAACATACCTCGTCTCCGGCACACATACACAACACACATGGAGGCACGTCCTTGAACGACCTTAGCTGTTTGTTGATAGGACGTTAAACCCAAACCAATCCAAGATACAGGTTGATGAAGACCTTTGCCAAGTTGTATGGTCATCCTGATCTCATTGGTGAATACTGTATGGTCATCCTGATCTCATTGGTAAATACTGTATGGTCGTCCTGATCTCATTAGTAAATACCGTATGGTCATCCTGATCTCATTGGTAAATACTGTATGGTCATCCTGATCTCATTGGTAAATACCGTATGGTCGTCCTGATCTCATTAGTAAATACTGTATGGTCATCCTGATCTCATCGGTAAATACTGTATGGTCATCCTGATCTCATTGGTAAATACTGTATGGTCATCCTGATCTCATTGATAAATACCACATTTCTTTGTTTAATGTGAAGGAGGTCAATGCGTTTAAATTATGATCACAAGTGTGCCGGCTTGTTGTTTTGTCCTCAGTACCCCGGCTCTCCCTTCAAAGACTGACATTACTTGGATACTAAACTTTGTCATCTCAGGAATCCATACATAAGTCATTTGGATTAGGAGAGATGGATAACATTGTTTTATACAAAAGTATAACAAATAGGCAGACATGTTTTTGTTTTCTTTTATTTGCATGACTTCAATATTCAAACAGTAAATTCAATATATATACACAAATGTAGGTATCAACATATATCACAAACACTTCAGTTAAGTTTTGCAAATTACATAAAGAATCGGTTTTGCAAATGTCCTAAAAGAAGGAGAAAATACCATGTGAAAACAAGAACGTTTCATCACGAAACAAACACTGTAAAACGAAATACTACATAAAGTAAACGAAGACTAAAACAAACAGAATACTGCCATAGAGATGGTGGTGGTGGTCTCTTATGTACAATTTCCTACATAAAACAGCTTCCATGTTCTTGAAATTAACAGGCTGTTCAGGTTTTTATGCCATATTTGAGCATGACACACATTTTGTTCCTAATTTGAAATCTGAAATAGTTATTAAAAATTATTTCGAAATTTGTGTATATAAACTAAAAACTCTGATCGGTACAAGTCAGGAACATTAAAGTTAACATCTGGTGTTTGCAAATTTTAGAGAATATCCATTTAAATGTTCATTTAAGATGTTGCTTGTATCAATTTTGTATGAATAATGGAGCCGAGAAAAAAGTATAATGTGTTATTAATAAATCTCAAGGTCAAGACAAGCACTATCAATTTAACATGTTTAAATTTGTTTTAAAGTTTACAGACTGTACATCTATTTAAATTGAAAATTTGAAAGGAAACTGAAAATAGAAAAAGTCAGAATGTATGTACAACAAAAGATGTGTTGTTTCAGTCTACGAGATCTCAATAAAATGTACAGCATAATACCCACAAATAACTTGTTGTACCGTCTACGAGATCTCAATAAAATGTACAGCATAATACCCACAAATAACTTGGTGTTCCAGTCTACGAGATCTCAATAAAATGTACAGCATAATACCCACAAATTGCTTGTTGTTCCAGTGCTAGCAGTAAGATTTTACACACTTCTGATGACTTAGACTATGGTACAACAAGTATATGACAACAAAAATGAATCAACATCATAACATTGTGGTGGCAATTACAGTCATATTGTTTATCTTCCCCGAGTGTTATTCTCAGCAAATGCCAAACAGGACTCTACATCACAACAGTCCCTGAATTGTCTCCCTTGGACGATCAGTACATAGAAGAACACATGTAGTGGAATTATAATGCCTCATCATTTATCACCTACCATATTCACATTTAATAATAACACCTATAGTTTTTCAAAAGTTGAATTGCCAGTACCTTGACGATTTTATTTCTCAAATTTATCACAAAATGATTTAATCTATATACACACATACAACTCTGCAAATACTGGATATTATAGAATTTTTTAAAAATTATTTTCACACTAATTCAAAATTTTCGTCACCTTTTAAAAAAAATATATCATAAAAATGCATTTTTCTTTATAAATGCAATGAGAGTCGAGACTGATAGAGTGCTTTTGATGTTGTAACTTTAGGAGGAATATGAACAATTTGCTTGCAGAACCCCCCCCCCCCCCCCCCCCCCCCGAGATTATCAACTAGCTTATGCACTAGAATGAAATTGAGTGAACGAGATTGCATAGCAGTAATTGATAACTGAGACCAGATCTTAGCAGTGTTTTGCTAACAGTGTGATTTACACACAAATGTCACATCTCATCACCATCACATGAACAGTTCGTTTTGGACTAGAATTTCATGCTTGTCTTCATTAACAAAAGAAAGCACAGCGTATGCCCAGACTGATTGGTTCCTGTCTGCTCTTATATCAGGACTTGCATCCAATCAGTACCGTTCAAGTCATCTGAGAATCAATGGCGGTCAATTGTTCTGAAAAGATCTTGGGAATCTGAATTCCTTGCATCACATCGTGATAAGCCTTGTGTGACTGGTCAACACTGACCAGGGAATAGCACCTTGGTATACAGACTTGTGTGACTGGTCAACACTGACCAGGGAATAGCACCTTGGTATACAGACTAGATCCGGTTCACGTGTCCTCCCCCGTGTTTATGCGGTTGAAGTAGTACAAGACGCCTTCATAGGTAGCCATCATAATGGCAGTGTTCGGAATCTGGCGCACCAGCTGGGTACAGAGTCCTCCGTACATACCCTTCACCCCACCTTCCTTACACACCTGTTTTAATGTCTGTATAAATGTCTGGTACTTGTTGCCATCCTCACGCAGCCGGGTTCTCGCCACCTCTGTTGACAAAAGAGTGGTGTGTTTTAGTAAGAAAACTATGTGACTTGAAATTGATTATATTTTTCCATACAAATTACCATGCTACCAAGTGTATATTGTAAATTCAACTATCCAATTAATGTTTATTATGCCACATCCATTTGTATATGCAATACATATACCGGTCATTGTTACTTTTAATACAAATATACATACATTCCCCCAAAAAAGTTTTTTGACAAACTTTTCTGTTGTGAGAAGCATTTCAAATTTTGTCTAGTTGACATTCAAGAGATGAACCATCTTCTTTACCCCGCGTTTGTCAGGATAATATGAAAGCAAGTTCATGTTTTGATTCTAGAATTCTAAAACGCTTATGATTTGTTCAATATACTGGTTTTAACATAAAAATAACAAACACTAGTTCCATATCTTTGCTTACCGTGAGGATATGCTATGCAAGTAGCAACAGTTTTTGACATGGCTCCAGCGACCATACAACGAAAGAAGCTGTTGATAAATGGTTCCTCGCCACCGTTTCTGTTATAGCTGAGGTTGTCCTGGCTTTTTAATCGCTCCTTCAGAGCTTCGTAGATCACAAAATGGATGACAGTTTCTGTTATGCCCACATAGGAAGCAGTGATGCCCTTGTAGAAACCAGCTATCCCATATGTTCTGTAGGTGTTCTTGATGCATTCTGTACATGTTAAGGAGTTCTTTCTCCTGAAAGAAGAAAACACAAAACATCTTTACACATTGCAAATAATTTCATTTCAGTCATTGAATTTAATTAATAGCTTAAAGGTTGAAAAAGATTGAACATTAACATAAGACATCAATTATGTTGCAGTGCAAATTATTAATTTCCGCGGCTTTGATTAACAGTATTCGTCAGAATGTGTCAAGATGACAACAACGCAAGACGGCTAGTTTTTAGAGTGCTTTTTGTGTTTTGAACCCTCAGTGCTGGACAACGCAGGATAGACTACTAGTGCGGCTGGAGTTTTTGTATGCTAGTGTGCTGCTCAGCATGGGCTAGACTGCCAGTCTAGGGGGCAACTTGTGTCGGTCGTTTCTGGGACAGCTTTTGATAATGTCTACACCAAATTCAGGGTAACATCTTTCTTTGAGAAATAATATTTATTTGCACTAATATGTTGTCACTGTCGACATTTTCCTGAGCCTACATATATAGCTATACCAGGTGGATAGAGAAATAGTTCCCTCAATCAGAAGACAATGTAAACTTACTTCTGATCAAGTTGGAGTTTGGTCTTGATAAACCATATTGGATTGGTAGTTGTACACGCACAGAAACCTGAAAAATACAAACATAATATTTGGTTAAACATTTTGGTCTAGCTAAAATAATTGTTGTATTAAAGCACAGGCAGGTTATATAAGGCAAGGCTATTATAAGATGATAGTTTGTTAGGTGTATAAATGAATTATTATGGGATGGCAGGGGTAACATTTCTCACTTCCACTACATCCGGTTCAAAGTACATGTAACCCAGTTTATTAGTTTCATAAAGGTTTGAACAAAATTTTTCCATCATGGAGTAAAAGGGTGTAATATATATCTGCATTTGAATATCCTTTTAACTAAGATAAATTCTTTATCTTCAGCACCATCATAACTTTGCAAAGTCATGCTTGGCTGATTTTGCTTTGCAATGATGTAAATCGTTTAAAATTGCCTCAATAAATACATCATTATGAAATAATGTGCTGTGTATATATTAACATTATATATAGTGGTATGGGGCTACAGGTAACAGTCTGCTAACATCACAAATGTCATCAATCAACGCGGATAAGCTTCTCATGAATGACTCGTAGCGGCACACACTTTGCCTACAGACAAATTACAAGTTTGTAATGTAGTCACCAAACTCAACTTTCATCATCATTTCAAATGTTTCAGGTATTGCATGCATGGTAAAACTAGTAGCAGGTATTGTCTGCAGACAAGAATTCCTTGTGGAACCTGATGCATACTAGATATGATTTCAGTAATCCTTTTTCACACACGCACATTTGTTTATGATGGACAACTTTACAATATTCCTATATATAACACTCGCAAAACAAGCAAAGTGTCCCTCAATTACTGTTGTTAGCACAAGTTCTGAAGGCAGATTATGCAATAATTGTCAGATTTTGATCAAAAGGAATGAGTTTTCTATATGCGAAATGACAAATTTCTCTAGAAAGATTTCAAAATTCTTATTAATGATTTTATATCAACTGATCAACTCAACTGACTAGCATTGTATTGGTTAAAAAATGTCATTTTAACAATGTCATTAATTAGTCGGCCAAGATTATCCTACTTTTGGTGGTGGTAGTAGTCTGAACATTTTTCTCATTAAGAGCCTGGGAGCACTTGTATAAAACATCTCACAGTTAAGGAAAATCTCAAGCAATGTATTGTCTATGGGAAATCTTAGACTTGAGGAAATATCAAGAGTTGAGATGTTTTATACAAGTGGGCCCTGGTAATGTAGTGTGGTTTTGAAGGAAGAAATCAGCAGAATTTTCATTTTCTGTATTTAACAATGGTAATATTGTTCTAACTACCCACTGAAAGCAAATATGGCACTGCTTTTAACCATCTATCATATGCACATACTACCAGTTAATCAATGTAATCTAGGATTTTCCCTGTGGAATTACAGTAGCATAATTGACTTGCTTTTTTATTTACAAGAAATTAGCTTTCATCATTGACAGGATAACTCACAATGACATTAAATTTCATTCAACATATCATAAATCAATTTGAAATATAATTTGATCACGCTGATTTTATAGAATCCTGGTTCTTGCAACATGCAAATCTTAAATTCTGTTCATACTACTCTGATTTCAACCCTTCGGACAGAAATATGAAACAACTTTTGATTTCTTTTCAAAACCCACAGATCACCCAACAGGTAAAACTGTGAGGTAGCACATAGATGTTCAAACCAATTACCTCGACCCTACTGCCCTCTGGTGAGAGCGGATTACCCTAGGGGCAAATGACTACACCTCAATTATGGAGATGCACTGTCCAAATTTCTTTTAGGTGGCGTTCAGCGTGAATGCCCATCGTTGGGCAGGTGCATCAGAATCTGAAAAGACTTAGGTTCAGGAAACGTTCTCCAGGCACGAAACATGCACACGAATGATTTTTGTGTCAAATAATGAAATACAATTACTTTCCCTACAAAATTGTCTGGAAATAGCATGCATTGATTTTTTCCCAGAAATCTCATGAAAGAAATATTTAGACATTTTTGTATAGTTTACCCTTAGATTTATATAAGAAACACAAATGTTTGGGGTTAAGTATAACAGTATGATACATATTCAAACAGACAAATGTTGTTCTCCGATTAGAGTATACATACTTACTTGTATCATGAAAATATGTGGGCAACACTTTAGTCATACTAGGAATATTTTGCCAAATTCTGGATTACTGTCTCAAAGTGTCTGTTTTATTTAGTAAAGCTGATTGAATACATATCTCTGGAAACTATTAGGTTCTATTTCAACTCCACATTTGAATTATCCTGTTCAGATCCTGGTGTAGATGAAGGCCTTCAGTACTGTCAAGGTATATATAAATTGCAACTATTGTTGTCTGTAAGAGCTAGAGCTTGGAATGGATGATTTATCACTAGGTACTTTATTGTTACTTATCCAACAGAGTGTGCATGCGAACAGACGTAAATACTGTTGACCCGAATGTGCATGCAAAAAGATGAAAAATAACGAGTATAGCCACACCACTATATGTGCAACAGATATGTTGACCCGAGTGTGCATGCGGACGGACGTAAAAAATCCACAGTATCTATTTAATTCTATGGCTACTTTGATGTAAAACTTGATCCTACAATTCATCATATATATCCCCTATGCTATCCTGCTCAAAATGTGAAAATTATGTGTAGTTTAGCTCATTCACCCCTGAAGACACATTTGAACTTTTCCAATTCAAAGGCTGGAATAGTTCATTATGAAATTTCAGGGGTGAATGAGTTAATGCCTTTTGTATTGTGTATATAATTGACAGAAGGAAAAACATGATGTCTATGTGTATACATTAGGAAATAGAACCTACTCGGCACAGAGCCAAAGTCTGATCACCTTTCAGGTCAGTGATGGAATTTTACAGTGTTATCTACAACTAGTCCTATGTAAATAACTAGTCCTACGTAATACCCCACTATCGCTACCTATAGAGCAATACCTGTGAACCCGATAATGTAGTTAAACCTATTATCTGTTGTTAAAATACCCAAATTTTGGATCCTTTTACAGAACAGGTCTAATGATATTTCTATGAAACAAATTTTCTTAATCAGCTCTATTGAACTTAATGAAAACCCATGCTCAACTCGTTTAAAAGCAATTCATTAGATACATTTAGTTATATTCTTAATGTATTGAAGGGAAAAGTTAACTGTCAGATTTATGACATGACAGAGATTCAGATATTAAGAAACTATTAACAGATTCCCCAATCTTATACTATATAAGATTGTGTAGACTTCGCAGTCCCTTATCAGAGTCCAGTATATATAGACGACCCAGAAACCATGTAACCTACATGATTTATCACCGATATTCCTCCAGACATGTACTTAGTCAAGCCAAGCATAAAATATTATACGAACATGAATTATCAATTGTTAAATAAATTTGGGTCTTGTTGTCAAGAAAATTGGCAAAGTATTCCAGAGAAAGTGAAACCCACCTATTTGCTGAAGTCGTTTTATATTTCACTGGTATAAACGTACCTGCAGTGACAGCAGAATAGATGTGGACTAGAGACGTATCAGGGTTCATCCGTGTGTTCAGGAACTTTTTCATGTTGGCATAGGAATAGAAATATATAGCTCTGAAAGTTGAATAAATAAAATAATTACTTCAGCTGTCTTATAAATTCAGATTAAAAGATTTGAGACAGTTTATTGTATTGCTGGGGGTACCCCAACACAGCAGCTACATGTTGACCGACAACTACTGTATGCCTCGCACATCAAACTTTCTAAGCCGTTTTCACAGTATGAAGGAAAGAAAAGGGACTTGATACATGAATGATGAAACAAACTGTCATATTGCATGTGTTCTTATATATATATATATTAAGATACATGAAATACTCTCTCATAAAATTACAATACAAGTTTATTTAGAGCATATTATTTCACTACAATTTAATGCCCATCCCATTTCTTAAATTTCCACTGAAAAAAACCCATTCTCATGTTGAATTTCCATCCAATTGTCATATTTGTTTTTCTGATTGGATTACTGTTCCTAATCTTAAATCCAACACTCCCTGGCCTAGCCTATAGGTGAATATGAGAAGCATACGTGCACTAGAACATGTGTATTTTTAAGACCTGCCAAGTCAATATAATCTAGCCCACAATCCCTTTTCCTATACACGGTTATCAAGTTATTTATAAATTTGACGTGCATATATACTGTCCCGATTAATTGTGGTGATACAAGCTAAGTTGAATCATACTATGATTATACAACTTTCAATAGGTTTTGATATCAATGGAGTTAATTGCTCATATATCAGGTCCAGTACACTCTGCCGATTGATCTATATATATATATATAGCTATAAATTATAGCTGTATTGAGCAAAGTCGCATAAAACTCAGGGTTTATGGTTATAATGTTGACTACGAAAAGCATACATAGATTTTTATTTTCATTTTTCAGAAATGTAAAATTTCTGATTTTTTTTACATCATTACTTTTTAAAAAGAATATTTATATTTAATGTCTTTTGCTATCAACCTAATGATAACATCTTCTTTTAAAAGCGACTTTGTGTCGTTTTCCTTCAAAAAGAAAATCACACGAAAATAGCTCAAAAGTCCTATTTCAGATATAGGCCAATAGAGCTAATATAGGTCTTTACAGCTATATAGCTCAATCGACAGTGTGCTGGACCTGTATATGTTTTGAAACTCAAATTACCTTGATGGAATGACGCCTACTAAGTTTGGTCCCAGGCCTTTGAATAAACCTTTCATACCTTCATGGACGACAATTTGTCTATAAAATAAAAAGAGCATTATATAAAAAAATATTATATTTTATATAATAACATATACATAAGATATTGCCGAAATTTTGATTGTCAAAGCAATTATTATTTAAATAGTGGACGGAAATACCAACAATACAGTAATTGTCATTATAGTTACTGGGCCTGATTTTATGTGAAACATGTTAATGACCCGCGTTACGTTTGATATATTCCGTCTTTGTGTATTGCAGTTATCTTCTCTTGTGAACAGGTGAGAAAGTTACGTTGTTTTCTCAAAAATTGTTGACGTTAGTCTCCCAAATAAATGATGTAACAATCGATACCTGCTCACAAGAGAAGATAACTCTGCAATACGCAAAGACGGAATATTAAATTGAAAGAGATTATTGAATGTAGAACTGCAGGCCTCATTTATTAACTATGACTTATAAGAGGGTATAGCATAAGCCTGCATTTAGACAATACAAATGCCTTTGTACATTTATATTCTATTGCTATTTACCTGTTGTATATATATATATATTGACAAGTACCTCTATACATCAGTCTATATTGAAACCCACCTGAGACAGAAATATAATCCAAGGGAACGACTCCTTGCATGCACCAATGCAGCCTCCGAAACATTAGCAATAGTCCCAACATTTCGAACTGTCACAAAAGTACCACTAGCAGCGGGATGGAATGTCGAATATTTGGGCACAAGACATGTTGGCCTAGCAGTTGATGTTGCTGTTGGGTAATGGAATGTACTGATGGAAGACTGAAGTCTTGTTTTAACCACTTCCAACGGACATGTCAGCACTGCTCCTGCTGTTCCTCCCAGGCTATTTAATAGAAATTAGAGAAATTAGCATTAACATGATCAATTCAGACCTTTTATAAGCAAAACTATTTAAGTTGATGTCTACCTAATTCCACAAATATGACATAAATTTCATATGTTGACTCTCGCAGAAGTTTTAATACATAAATAAATGAGATGCACATTTTTTCAAATAATTGGGAGGAGACGAGCCATTGGTTTCAAACTTTATTTATTATTTACAACTATGGATATTGGATATGTAAACATTCCACATGTTGCGTTCTAAGTTTTAGCATTCCTTATACACTAAACAACAATAACAAAACCCGAATCGATGCTTCACGCGACAAAGCTAACAGTTCTTTAAACAGGTCATACCAGCCTGTGACGACGTGCGGTCATATTATGAGCTAGGCCTACCTTGATTGACCCATAATACGCTACCACATGGAAATGCCGGCTACGTTATCAATATATTCAGACATTTACCAGAACGACTGTCCTGCGATAGGAAAGCCACTTCATATACTATAGAATACACGTTAGTGTCTAACCCTAGACATGGAGAATAACACCAGAATCATAAGAACATGCAGAAATCTCCCGAGTCTTCTGGACCGATATGTCGGTCACACGTGTTGTTATTTGTAAATAGTCTGGAAATTTCCATTAAGAAGAAATTGCAGTTATGATAAGATTTTAATAATATCTGCAAGTACATTTAACCGAAATTATTTATAACCATATTTCAATCAAAACATACATAACAAAACAAAAACAGCTCAGAATTTTAAAAAACAATAGAGAAATGCCGCCGAAAATGCCTTCTGTGTGTAAACATGGCCGGCCGTCCTTATTTTGAAAATTCAGCATTGCAAATATACTGCTTTATGAAATATCCCCGGAATATATGCATTTATTAAACACAAACTAACAAACATATTTATTATAACTTACCCTCCAGCAGCGAGGTGGATAAGTTGATCATTTGACGCCATGTACGCTACACGATGTTTACTTTTCGAAGCGTAAACGAAATATGACATACCCGATCGGTGTGCAACCAAGCTACTTTGTGTACTGTGATTTGATTGGCTAACGGCTTACAAGGCAGAGGAAGTTTTTATCACGGCGTGTTCACGTGAACGTTCGGTTCGAAGATGACCCACATGACAGCGACTGTCAAATCGAACAGTAACGAAATAATTCTGTTCAATTAACATTAAAAGTGTTTATATTATTAGATGTATAGCAAGGCAAAAAATTGTAGCTACATGTACGACTAGACATGTTAGTATCGGATGACTTGCGAGTCGATTTATATGGGTCAAATGAGATTTACATAATCTTCAATATGAAGGTCATATTCTCAATTATTTGGTAGACGTAGAAATGATAACTGTGCTAACAGTGTCCATAAAGTAGCATGTCAAACATCATCGAAACGTCTTCAAGGTACAGACTGCACCTTGTAACAAATCTATAAAAATGGCGTTGACTGAATTTGTTACCTACTTTGGACCGGATCGTAACATTTGATTAGCGAGGATGTGATTATATATGATAAGAACCTTGCCTGCGGGATGATATATATATATATATATATAGCCTATACACTATACAGGGAGCCCATTTCCTAAATAGTCCTATATATTTGGACCATTCCTGCATTTTTCCTTTACTTTGCCACGGACTTTAGAATCTAATTCTGTGATTTTGCTAAAATTCCTATAAATTCCTAAGTTATAATTCAAAAAATATCAAAAAAATCACTCACATTGTTCAGAATTTCCAAAATGGAGTAGAGTTTTGAGAATTAAAAGAAGGCCTACTTAAACAATACATGTACAAGATGATATTCCATGTACTTGAGATATGTCAAATATAAACGTGAAGGTTGTATAAGTTAAATCAACAATATAAATCAATAATAATATGCCTGAACAACAGCTTTTTGATGTACATTGGTCAATTATTTTAATTGTTTGTTCTTGTGTTATAAGAAATTAATGTTATGTCAACGTGCATTTTTAGGTATTGGTTAAGGTTTTTTATCATTTTTTGTGTGTGAATTATTAGATCACCACACCACCATGGTGATGCAGTTGGCTTTATAAGGTTGAGGCATTACATGGAGTGTTAGCAATGTGCTAAACCATTATTCATATTCTAGAAGCCAAAACAACTTACTTTAAAATCAACCGTGTGTTGATCATTTCATGATGCTTTACTAATATATGGTAATATTCGGTTATTCACTGCGTGTAGCCAATCTTTTGTTTTGTACTTACATTGTACAACAAAAGTCAAAATGTAAAGATCAGATTAGCATCCTACAACACATTAATAGCAATCTACAACACATTAATAGCAACCTACAACACATTAATAGCAATCTACTACACCATAATAGCAATCTACAACCCATAAATAGCAACCTACAACACATTAATGGCAATCTACAACACATTAATAGCAATATACAACACATTAATAGCAACCTACAACACATTAATAGCAATCTACAACACATTAATAGCAACCTACAACACATTAATAGCAATCTACAACACATTAATAGCAATCTACAACACATTGATAGCAATCTACAATACATTAATAGCAACATACAACACATTAATAGCAATCTACAACACATTAATAGCATCGTACAACACATTAATAGCAATATACAACACATTAATAGAAATCTACAACACATCAATAGCAACCTACAACACATTAATAGCAATATACAACACATAAATAGCAACCTGCAACACATTAATAGCAACATACAACACATTAATAGCAATCTACAACACCATAATAGCAATCTACAACACATAAATAGCAACATACAACATATTAATAGCAACATACAACACATAAATAGAAACCTACAACACATTAATAGCAATCTACAACACATTAATAGCAATCTACAATACATTAATAGCAATCTACAACACATTAATAGCAATCTACAGCACATTAATAGCAACCTACAACACATTAATAGCAATCTACAATACATTAATAGCAACCTACAATACATTAATAGCAACCTACAACACATTAATAGCAATCTACAACACATTAATAGCAATCTACAACACATAAATAGCAACATACAACATATTAATAGCAATCTACAACACATTAATAGCAATCTACAACACCATAATAGCAACCTACAACACATTAATAGCAACATACAACATATTAATAGCAACCTACAACACATTAATAGCAATCTACAACACATTAATAGCAACATACAACACATAAATAGCAACCTAAATTAACCTTAATTAACATCACACATGGTTTTGAAATTTAAAACAATACATTTTCATAAGTTTGTCATTTTTAAATGCTCAAACAAATAGAGAAAAACAGAAAACCGTAGTTCGAACTCAAATATTAGGATAGATTATATGGATAAAGGAACTATTTTTATGGAGGACAATGAAAAAAAAACCATCAAACGAATAAAACCATGTTATCCGGAAAGGTAAGTGTCTTGCGCTTCATTGATGACACCGCCATGTATATCTAGGTCAAATCTCGGTATTGTTACGTCCTCATAGCGAGAACCGGAGTAGCGACAACAAAACAACAAAGAACACTATACATTTATCACAACTAGAAACATTGACTTTAAATAACAACACATTTCATATTATAAAAGAACGTCTTTGTGACATATTCAGACAAGAATGTTTTGAAGAACAATAATCAACCTTCTCCAAAAGGAGCATTGTATCATTATGTGAGTAATATTGGTCACCAGTATTATTTGTAAAAACCTGTAAATATAAATGATTTAAAACAAAATGTGTAAAATTCGAATGTCTGCATATAAGTTAAATATTGAGTTTGGCAGATAAAACAGAAATGAAAGACGAAACAGATTGTGTGCATTATGTGACCTGGATGATGTCGAGGATGAGTTATATTGATATAAGGTCGAAACTAATTAAGATATATTATGTAAGACATACAAGCATGTATAAATTAATTCAACTACTTACTTTATCGGACATAAGACATTTTGGCAAGTATTTAAAACAAGCAAACAAAAGAAGATCTGAGCTGATTTCTGGTTAGTGTTCACTCTTCACGGTGTGTGTGTGTGTGTGTGTATCATATTGTATGTTGTCTTTGTATCATGTTGTTATGTATATATTCCGTCTTTGCGTATTGCAGAGTTATCCTCACTTGAGAGCAGGTATTGATTGTTACGTCATTTGTTTGGGAGAGTAACGTCATCAATTTTTGAGAAAACGACGTAATTTTCTCACACAAACCAATGACGTAACAATCAATACCTGCTCCCAAGAGAAGATAACTCTGCGATACGTAAAGACGGAATACGCTATATCTAATAAGTCAACCGATCTAAAGTAATCAAGAACTTAAAATTGAACTTCTTAACACACGAAGCAATATCCTTTTCCCCAATGAGATCTGACAGCGATCAGCATTACCAACACTGGCGGCTTACTACGAAGCTGTACGATCAGCTATTCCGTCTTTTCTTATTGCAGAGTTATCTGCTCTTGTGAGCAGGTATTGATTGTTACGTCATTTGTTTGTGTGAGTAGCGTCATCATTTTTTGAGAAAACGACGTAATTTTCTCACACACACCTATGACGTAACAATCAATACCTGCTTCCCAAACCTACAGTGTTTATATGTCTAGTTGATTCGGTATACAAGAGCTTGCTCTGAATATCTTGAATTTCATGATAGATGTCGATTGCTCACGCAGGAACAGGTTTAACAGACTAGTGTCGTTGATATCATGCGCAGAAAGTATATACGATCGACGAAGTCAATACATTTCTTGTTTTTGGAAATTTGAGTTGAAAGACTTGGCTTCGTTGTTTGCCAAGGACAGCTTTTATGTCACCATCAAGATATCGCAGAGAAATATGCTAGATCTAAAAAAAAATGTGGAATGAAGTTCGACATTAAAAAAAAGAGAAGCTCATTAGAGAGCATTTTGATTTTGTTGTCGCTACACTCCCAGGTTCTCGACGTGAGGACGTGACATAACTTGAATTTGACCTAGTTTTACATGACGGATGTCATCGATTAAGCGGAAGACGCTTACCCTTCTGGAACACATGGACTTATTCTCCTTGACTTTTTCCAAGGGTCTCCGTATTAATTTTTCCTTTGTTCATATTTTGCCTGAGTTTTATCAATTAAGTTCAAATTATGATTTTGTTAACACTTCGATATTCTCTCTTTTTTACCCCGCGTCCACCATACCTTTATAGCAATAAAAGCAATAAACATAATTTATTGTTACCATCATGAACTCATTTGATTTTTTTTTCTCACAGTATAATGTCGTTTTTTTATATTGCCAATTAGTATGCATTGTTGTGTTGTTTTCACTACACAGTAAGTTAAAGGACGTGATATGACCTGGATTTGACCTTGATTTACATGGCGCATGTCCACCTAAATCTGTCATTTGTTCAGATTCCTCTAAGATTAAGTGATTTTGAGATGGACTTATGGCGTTGTTTACATTTCTTTCTGTATAGAATACTAAAAGAACAGGCGTGGATTATAAAACAAACTGAAAGCAGATATATGGTTTACTGCCGTGGACGTTATTGCTATAATGTTTAGTCGTACCAATATCCTGGAAGAAGGCTTATATGAGTTTGATTGCCTCTTTGTAGGCACTGCACCTTGATGAAGTCTACCTGGAACAGTGTGGGAACACCTGGACCTCTGACGTCAATAGTTTAATTATTGTGTAGTTTTAGAGTTTCATTAAGTCGGTTGGTTTCAGTTTATTTAACGTTTGGAAATAATGCACTTTCTCCCACTTCTTTTAGTAGGTGTTTTCTACGAAAATATAAAGAGTAAGAAAGATCAATAGGGAGCGATTCTGGAGAAGAGTACCTGATCTATCTTACTGGCACCATTTGTATTCCACACTGGGGCAGGTTGAAACTGACGAATTCTTCAATAAATTGATTGCAGCAACGACCTTTGATTTTCATAAAATCAAATACAAAACAAATTTTAACTGTA